GACCACGTGGATCCTGGAGAAGAGTAACAGAGAATGTTGTACAAAAAGTGGGAAGACATGGAATAATACCCAGAGGCTACCCCAAGACAGGGAACAGTAGTAAGAGTTTGTTACTGACCTATGCCTTGATCCAGTGTGAAAAAGGCAATAATGATGATAATGATGATGATGATGGTGGTGGTGGTGGTGCCTACGACGGTATCGTTCATCTAAAACAGGTGCATGAACTCTAGCTCAGCAATTTTTACTGAGCGTCTTTGGCCGAGCCTAATAGCCCTTTATCTTTTTTTTCAGTTGGTTTGGCCAAGGGCACACAAAAAAACCCATTGTATTTCCATTAATTTTGTCACATGGCTGTGAAGTATGGTATTATTCCTTGGTGAAGAAAAAGAGAAACCAAAGGAAGAAAAATTTTCATCTGCATCCTGGTAACAACCGTGTGATTAGTAGAAATCTTTCTGGTGTGCCCAGAGCCTTTTGGCCAGGGGAAAAGGGAAAGGGTAAAAGGGAAGCATGCCAGTTATCAATGACACTCTCAAAAAGAGTAAATGAATGATTGATGGATAGAATTAATTAAATTTTATTTTTCAACTCTTTTTAACGAAAGAACATCCATTGTTGAAATTTTACAGAGTAATTTGCGTTGATTTGCATACAAAAAAGGAAGAAATATTGAACAACAAAAGTTGAATTGATATTTAGGAGGGACTATCTTTACAAAACCAATTTGTAGGTGGAGATTTTTAAAAAATTAATGCGACTACAGTGTTATAGTGCTGTAATTATGACTCTTCAATACACAAAATTAAATAGTACACAAACTGGGCCCGTGACACTGTAGTTTGTCCTGTGCACATGTGAGATTAGGCGGGGGCCACCCACTGTATGATTTTTTTATCTTTTTGAAACAGTATTTGCGGTGTTGTAGCCTCGTCTGGTAGTCTCTATACGTTATCTATTTAAGACTAACTCAAACAATTGAAGGAGCAAAATTGAAACTACACGTACGGCGAGTAAAACTACAGGAAAGACAAGGGCTTTGCAAGATGCGTTAGTACTATTGCGTGGCAGCGAGCCCTTTGTATGTTTGCTTATGCGTGTGTGCGTGTGTACGCGCGTACGTACATACGTATATGATTGCGAGCTGTGCACTTTCTTATGAGTTTGGGTTTGAGAATTAAAATGTTGTATATATGTGTGTTTGTAAGTGGGTATGTGTGTATGCGTTTGTTTTTGTATGTGTGTGTTTGTATGTACATGTGCGTGTGTGTGTGTGTGTGTGTGTGTGTGTGTGTGTGTGTGTGTGTGTGTGTGTGTGTGTGTGTCTGCCTGCGTGTTTGTCCCGCAGTCTTTGTGTTCAATACATAGTGAAAATGTCGATGTGTACATGGGATTGTCAGTGAATGCAGAATCCAGAGTATGTCAGGTTGAGATTTCTATTTGAGGGTAGATCTATGTGAGAGGCTTTAGGTTGTGGGAATGTATAGGAGTATGGAGGGGAGGGGGGGGGGCAAGTTTACATAATGAGAAGGCAATGTATGTGAGGAATCCCCTGTCACTCAGGTAACGTAGTAGGTGGGTAGGTAGGACGTGGACGTGGACATTAATGTGTGGGTGGAGTTGCATTTTTTGTCAGGTGTGTGGGTGTGTATTTGGATGAGAAGGTGTGACTAGGCAATATAGTGGGTACAAGAGTGCGATTGAAAAAGAGTGCTCACGATTATGCATAGATCTAGGCCAATTAAATTTTAGTAAACCTATGTGTGTGTTTGTTTAATCCTGGTGCGTTTGCGTATATGGATGAAAGTGCACGCGTGTGTTAATTAAACTGCGAGAGTAGAATGTTGTATCATAACAGATAGGCCGGGGGTGGAGAAAGAGGTGTGGTGTTAGGGGAGAGATAGAGAGAGGGGGGGGGTGAGAGGAGAGGAAAGAAGGAAGAGAATCGGGAGACAGACCGGAGGGGGGCGGAGGAGGGGCCCGAAGGTGATTGCTGCCCCAGGGCCCGACCAGGCTCTCGACGGCCCTGTGCATGTGTGCATGTGTACGTAAAAAGGTAGGTGGTGGGTGAAAGGGCGTGGGTGAGGGTGAAGAAATTAGTTTAAAGTGGATGTCGTTCAACAAAGACCCCATTGAAGAATACATGTATGAAGTTCGAGGTTGCGATGCAGTTTCTTGCTTAAAG